ATATATATTTATCTATTTATTTTTTTACATTTTTTAAAAATTGTGAAATTATGTAAAATAAAAAGCCACCTTCTGCAACACGGTTTTACAGCAATAAATAAAATAATTATGAAACATAAAATTCATGAAACCGAAATAATAGTAGTAGTAATAATAATAATGATGGCAATACTTTATTTATCGTTATTAATGAAAATATAAATTATAAAATCTATCTTATGTCTTAAAAGTGGTACTCCAACCTCACATTTATGAAAAATATTAAATATCGAAGTTAAACCTTTTGCCTGAATGTATGCCAGTGTGGGTTTATTATGTTCACTTGTTTAACCAACATCTATTACAGAATTATGATCATAGTGGAACTTTTGATTTTGAAAACAGAATTGAAAGAAGAAATAAAAGATTTTAAAAGGGTTTTGAACTAGACCACCTGTTTTAGTAGCTGAATTATAAATAATACATCAAAACCCTCTAAAGGAAAATTACCGGTTAATGCAATTTGTCAAGATTATATATTTAGTCTAATTAATTACACTTAATAGCCACTTTGCAAACACTGTGTATGTGTGTGTGTTTGCTGTTCTATATTATCTGTGTTTCTCGTGGGACCTCTAAAGTGTTACACAGCCCATGTGCGCACAGGAAAACCAGATGAACAGAATAAATCTCGTAGTCTGCCTGCCATTCGCTGCAGGATACCACCGCTACAGCGTTTTAAGAAACCAACTGTTCGCCAGGTTGGCCCCGTGCATGCTGGGAAAGAAAGGGGGCTTGTGGGGCTGATTCACTGAGCTGAGAGCAACAAAAAACATTTGAAAGCACCCATCACATGCTTATCAGTGTTATTTATCATCGAGAGAAAGGGGGCTTGTGGGGCTGATTCACTGAGCTGAGAGCAACAACAAACATTTGAAAGCACCCATCACATGCTTATCAGTGTTATTTATCATCGAAAAACATGAAAGGCCCCTAAAGGGGTCAGGGGTCCTCTTGAGTGGTTAGTTGCTTTTAATGAGAAGATTTTAAATGAAGCAATGACTTGTTTATATTTACTGTGAAGCCCAAATATATGTGACTTTTATTTCATCTGAAATTCAACAAAGTAAAACAGGTGAACCCACGACTTTGCCGTTATAAATGAAAAGCAGACAGTACTGACTGATGCATTGAACACACTGGCTGTCCTCTGCAGGCGATGCTGCTCAGTAAAGATGGCCAGTATCTGCTGACCGGAGGAGACGCAGGAGTTCTCAGCATCTGGCAGATTCATGATCTCAAGCAGCTCTTCACTTACCCGGGATGTGATGCTGGAATACGCTCTATGGCTATGTCACATGACCAAAGGTAGGATGCATGAAGACACCGAGTTCCTGTTCCTTTTCTAGACTCAAGATTACAATATCTCCATGTTGACTTGGGGAAGAGCAGGGATAATTCTAACGCTTTTTAAATGTACACAATTCAATCCAGAAGTTCTTAGCAAAATAACACATTTTTAGTAATAGTTACTAAAAGTTAACTATTACTTTTAGATATTAAAAAAGAAAAATGTTTTTTGCAAGTTAATAAAAAATTGGATTGTTTAGATTTTGAAATGTCTGGTTAAATTAATAAATCAAACTCTACATTCAGCAGTTATCACTACTTTCAAACATTCATACTGTACGCCACTGTTCAAAAGTTTGAAGTTATGTGGTAAAAACAAAAAAATACAGTTGTGCTGCTTCATATGTTTGTTAAAACTGACTTTTGATAGACTTAATGCATCCATGCTGAATAGAAATATTAATTTATTTCTTTAAAAACATTCAAAATCTTACTGATCCCAAACTTTTGAGTAGTAGTGGATGTTTTTGAGTTGTTTCTGGTCTCCTTTTGTACAGTAGCTCCATTACAAAAGAATCAAAAATGTTCCCGTTTGTGTAAACGTAACAGCTTCTTTCTCCAGAAAAGAATAGAGTAAAAATTTAAATAGAACACACATACTTACTTACTTAATTACTTACTTATATGTGACCCTGGAGCACAAAACCAGTCTTAAGTCGCTGGGGTATATTTGTAGCAATAGCCAACAATACATTGTATGGGTCAGAATTATTGATTTTTCTTTTATGCTAAAAATCATTAGGATATTAAGTAAAGATCATGTTCCATGAAGATATTTTGTAAATGTCTTACTGTAAATATATCAAAACTTAAATTTTGATTAGTAATATGCATTGCTAAGAACTTCATTTGGACAACTTTAAAGATGATTTTCTCAATATTTAGATTTTTTTGCACCCTCAGATTCCAGATTTTCAAATAGTTGTATCTCGGCCAAATATTGTCCTATCCTAACAAACCACACATCAATGGAAAGCTTTTTATTCAGCTTTCAGATGATGCATAAATCTCAATTTCAAAAAATTGACCCTTATGACTGGTTTTGTGGTCCAGGGTCACATATATATAACACACACAAACACAATGCCGTGCAAAGTTTGGGATCAGTAAGATTTTTGATGTTTTTAAAGTCAGGAAAAAAAAAAAAAACAGTAATATTGTGAAATATTTTTACTATTTAAAATAGCTGCTTTCTATATGAATCCATGTTCAAATGTAATTTATTCCTGTGATGCGCAGCTGTATTTTCAGCATCATTACTCCAGTCTTCAGTGTCACAAGATCCTTCAGAAATCATTCTAATATGCTGATTTATTATCAATGTTAGAAACTGTTTTTGCTGCTTAATATTTTTTGGAACCTGTGATACTTGTTTCAGGATTCTTTGATGAATAAAAAGTTAAAAAGAACAGCGTTTACTCAAAATAGAAATCTTTTCTAACAATTCAAAACAAGTCTTTACGATCACTTTTTATACATTTAACACATCCTTGCTGAAGAAAAGTATTCATTTATTTCAAAAAAGAAAAAAATTACTGACTCCGAACTTTTGAACGGTAGTGTATATTGTTGCAAAAGATTTCGATCTAGATATAAAATCAAAAAAAGAAGATGTGTCTAATATTTATGGGACACGTCTCTGTCTCCCCTCTTGTCTCTTTGTCCTCGTGTCCTCATGCAGATGCATCATCACTGGGATGGCGTCTGGTAGCATTGTTCTGTTCTACAATGACTTCAACAGATGGCACCACGAATACCAAACTAGATACTGACCCCGTGAGGCCACAGAGGGAACAGAGCAACCACGACCCTTCATACAGACACTACCAACTACCAAGAGGCATGAATGTATTCTAAATATTTAAAAAGCAAAACTATTTTTTAAAAATGGCATTGCTATATTTTGTAGATCTTATTGAATTTCTTACTATATAAATCCTAGGGAGGGGTTATATACCTAATATTTGGAGGAAAAGAATCTATTTTTAGCCGTCAAAGTCTATTTTCACCTTTGCTCTTGTGAAAAAGACTGGTCAATAGCTAGACGACTCTATTTGTGTATAGTGTCTATGGATAGCTGATTTGGTTGTGTAACTTAGGGAGGGTGAGTTTGTTTTTTAATTCTTTCCTTCTCATTTGCTGTGATTATTTTGACAGGATGCCTCTAAACGTCATGTTTTGTAGTTTAATAGCTCAGTTCCTAAAGCTAACAGGAAGCTGCCTCATTTTTTGGGGAGAATTATGGGAATTATATTCATAGATTAAATAGATAGCCGTCTGCAGACATATCAAGGCATCCACTTCAAATGTTCACTTTATGAATGGAAAAGTGGCCTCAAATGAGAGAAATCTGAAGTTTTGTTGAAACGTGAGTGGACCTCTTGTGTGATCATGTAATGATGTCGCTTTAGAAACTGAAGGGACGGATTCTGCATATGAAGAGATAGTAATTTAGAAATTATATTAATTATCTTCATGGTTTGGGGTGTGTTTTTATCTTTTTTGTTTGTTCCACATCTATCAAGTGTTCCAGAATGTAACCATTTTTTTTCTTTTCTTTGAGGAGATGCAAGTGATGATAAAAAATATGAATGTCCATTTCAAGTGTCATCAAATAGTCTTTTTGTCATTTCACCACTGTGCTTTTACCCTTAGTGTATGCAGACATGAATGAGGGCAGAGCGTCATATTTTGTTAGCAATCTAAGTTGAGATCAAAACTAAAATTGGATAAAAAAAAATAAAAAAAACTTTACAATATTTCACTATATGTGGTTCATAATACATCCGGCTCAAGATATAACCCTATAGATCACACTCAGGGCAAGCAGGGGTCTGTCAAATTACAAAGAAGAGTTTATTTCTTGGTTTGAGTCAGCTATGGTGTGATTCTGACATTGACAATGCAGTCTGATTCCTTTGGTTTGGTTTGGTTCGTTACTGTTGTATCATGTTATATCTCAGCTAAATCACAATCAGATTGGAATGAGCATCTTATGACGTGTGTGATGAACTCAAACAATAAAATGGCATTTTGTACCAATAAAAAATTTCAAAGCATTTTTTTTTTTTTTGTAAAAACATGCAGATCTGGGGGATCTAAGAAAGTTTGAATTGTGTTATTACTATTGAAGTTTTTAAATAATTATTATTTTGAATTTATATATATATATATATATACTATTTTCATTTTAATTTCAGTTAACATTTTAATAATTTTGTTTTAAAAATGTCTAGATATTTATTAAGTTATTTTATTTTATGATTTATTCTAATGTATGATTTTGGCTTCAGGTTTAGTCAATGACCCTGCTTGGAAACTGTCAGAATTAAAGGTCCAAATTCATTTGGCAGCAATAAATCCCATGCAGTATTTTGTGTGTCCGCTAGAGGTCGTTATAGCTCAGCTGGGATAACATAATCAGCCTGATCCACTTTATCAGCTCAAATAGTAGAAACTCCCAGACCTGACTCCACTTAAAATGTGCAGTGTTGAAGAGCGCCAGAAAAAAAAAAGGGCTGGGAATTACAGAATTTTTAAATTAGAGAGCAAATTAACAGCTCGTTCTCTTTTATGCACTAAAACATGAATGAGACGAGATCATAAGACAAAATTATTCAAAGTGTTTCTATTTTGCAAATTTGATATTTTAGAGCAGGGGTCACCAAACTGGGTCCTGGAGGGCCGTGTCTTGCCGAGTTCAGCTCCAACCCTAATCAAACACACCTGAAGCAGCTAATCAAGCTCTTACTAGGCACACTAGAAACTTCCAGGCAGGTGTGTTGAGGCACGTTGGAGCTGAACTCTGCAGGACACGGGCCCTCCAGGACCCAGTTTGGTGACCCCTGTTTTAGAGTGTCACCCCTTCATTGCTGTGCAGTTTTTTTTCCTGCATCATGAACGATTTGTAGATTTTACACACACAAAAAATGTAAAATCTGGTCTAATATGACCGAACAACACCGGAGGGTTAATATTGGAAGAGCTTATCAGCGCTGGAGATCCTTAAAGAGCGAGAAGCTTGGAAACTGTCATCGAGGTTGCTTGGTTTTTTGCTTGGTACGTGAGTAATTCTGGTTTTGCTGTGTTTTACAGAACCAAGATATTCTGTTGTTGTTCTGTTGATATTCTATCTTCGCTTGTTTATTCATTTGCATTATTATTTTTTGCTTGGCATCAGAATTTGTTGGCGGAACAATGACGGGAGAGGTGTGTTGGACACTTTTTGTTTCCATAACCGATACTGATTATTTCTTGAATGGGTGTGTGATTTTTTTCAATAATGATAAAAAAAAAAAAAGCAAATATGGCTACAATTAAATAAAAATCTGTGTACCAGTAGGTGTAACAAATGTTTGTAATGTCTGTACTTCTATATTTCCTTCAAGCCTGTCTTGTGGACTTTGTCTCCGGTCTCAGCCTGCATATATACAGTAATGTCAAATCTGAAAACAATGTCTGAAAAAGAATGATGATTAAATATTGCATTCACAGATAATATAGTCCAACTGGCTCATGAGTGCTGCAGTGATGTATTTTTGTAGGCCAACCCATAAGTTAGCATCACCTTGGTTCCCTCAACAAAAAGAAAGAAAGAAATAACCAATAGGATTTTGCCATTGGCTTTTGGATTATTGAAGAACATAAGCTGTTACCAGTTTATGATTCTTACATATTTTATAATGATAATCCCCACAAATGAGCACAACGTGTGTGGATTTTAAAGCCAAAATACAATCACCAGAAGTTAAAAGCTAAACAGTCTACAGTTTGAACAAACGACACCATGGTCACATGACTTCAGTGTCACCGTATTAAGCTTCCGACAGCCCTTTCAGTCTTTATTTCAAAAACATTTTCCATGAAATTGAGTTATAGATTGCAAGAGCATGATTATAAACACAAGACTGTAAAAGCGCACTAGAGAGTAGATGAGTTTTCTCGTTCACACTGATGTGATGATGACTGTACAGGTTTGACATGGCTGTACTGTGATTTAATGTTGTATCATTTTTGATCAGGTAAACAGGTTCAGTGAACAAATGAAGTTTGGAAAAATTGGAAGCAATTGGAAAAAGTGCCAAGTTTTGAGAAAAAAAAATATATGTGCATTTTGTTGCATCATTGGTTGTGAGTTTAAAGTTTCTGATATTCGTGCCAAACTGATTGCCAAAAAAATCACTAACATCATAGCCTTAAAAAAACAACTTGGTGCCCTTAAAATGTTAATCTAAGCCTTACCTTCACTACACAAATTGCTGACTACTTGAATTGTTGTAGTTACATCTGTGGAATAATCAGCATTACAGAGTCTCCACTTAACATTTCCCAGTGTTTTTGGAGACTGACACTTATTTAAATTTGATATTCTATTTTATATATATATAATAAAGCATTCGCCTTTTTATATTCCATTCATGCGGATTTGCATGTAAATAATAGTGCAATTAATGATTATCAAAGACTAATTCGAATTTGAATCTGGGACAATCTTGAGATCACAATAACTCAGATGATGCAAATTAGCACATTATATAATGTCTCAGTCCTGTTTTTGTAATTAGACTGATCTTTCGTTAGCTGTTATTTAGAGACGGTTTGTGGAGTTGCAAAAGTTGTTTTGATGGATGTTCAGTCTCTGCTGTTTATGGGGTGCCAAATGACATCAGCAGCATCAAGAGAAGCAACCAAATGAGTGAACTATGTCGCCACTTGCTTGCAACATTAAAAATACCTAAAAAAGAAAGAAAGAAAAAAAGGTGCATTTTTTGGTGAAAATCACAACACTAGATGGCGTCATGTATCTTATAAGTGTGACATGCATTTATTTTATTCATTTAAAGTGTGTGTGTGTGTGTGTGTGTGTATGAGAAAGTGCAACATATATACACACGTCAGTAGTACAAGTAAATATATACAGGTAGTAGCAGCCTGATAATATTCGAACTCTTTAGATAGTGGCCCTCCAGAAGCAGGATTGTGTGTATGATTTTGGCATTACATAGAGAGGAACAACTGTGTAGAGGGAGGGGACATCTTTATTCACTGATCAGTAAAACAATTTGCTCAATGAATGAGCAACGTCCTCTACAATAAACATCAGCATCATCATCATCCAAAGTCTACAATACCAATTTAGCAGCAACATGTTAACACGGGGGAAACAGAGTGGTAACAAAGTAGTATCATTTAGAAAAAAGTCACAGTTTTTCTTTCTATCTGTATCATTAAAAAGGATTTGCAAGGAGGGTATTTTAAAAAGAGGTTTATTGACTGCTATGGACGCTACGGTTATTGTTTTGAGCTATGGCATGTGCTCTGTACAGAATACATGGGGAGATTTTAACTATACATTTAAACCCTAATATAAAGCACATCTGTGTCACCATACAAATTTTTAGGAGATTCAACAAAAATATACAATGTTTTCACTTCACATTTGAAGATTTATAACACCACTAAGTTTTTTTTTTCTCGTTTTTCTCTTCTTTTTTTTAATGGTAAATACAACAGTCTCATTGGTCAAACCAACCGAATGAAGGAGACACAACGTTAGTTATTCTACTCAGTAAGCTATGAGTGATTTAAATTGGTAAAAGGATGAATATAAATTAATATATATTAAGAAATTCCAACTGTAACTCCAGGGAAATGAAGGGCTATACCGAGTATAAGTAATGTGACAGTATTTTTGATACAATAAATACACATGGTTTATAATGTGGATCGTGTGTGTGTGTGCGTGTGTGTGCATGCTGGAAGAGCTCCTGTGTCCAATTATTGGGATGTGTGTGTGTGTGTGTGTGTGTGTGTGTGTGTGTGTGCATGCTGGAAGAGCTCCTGTGTCCATTTATTGGGACGTGTGTGTGTGTGTGTGTGTGAGAACGAATAGGAGCAGCTATGATAGTGTGTGTTTATGTGGAACACTGTAAAGAAGTAGGAGAAGAGACGAAACCCCTTGTAGTCTCCATAGTGATACTTTCTCACCTTCACAAAGTCCAGGTGAAATGAGTTGAGGCAGTCTAGAAAACCCACATAAAAGAATGGCACAAAAAAGTGAAATGCGTCAACAGGATGTGTTTGCTTTCCATTCTGGTCTGAGGTGAGTTTGCCAAAAAAAAAAAAGTAATCAAAAATGTCACAGTACCTAAAATGATGGCAAACAAAAAAAAACTCTAAAATCTATTTTTTGTCTTTTTTCACTGCTTCATAATAAAAAATAGGTTTGTTCTTTATCTTACAGTAATCCATGATCTCCTCTGAAGGAAAAACATTAGTCCAACACTGAGAAAAAAAGTCAAACGAAACAGGGGACTTAAAAAGAGGGGGGCGTGAGGATGCATTTCTTCTTTTTCGTTTTTAGGATGGACATTTTGTGCAGCCACACTTGACGATCTTTTCCACCTCCTGGACAAAAGAGGATCCGTCTGTGCATTGGAAGGTGTATTTCCTGCGTTTGCTGCGGAGAGGGGCGCAGCAGGAGGTCCCGTCCCCGCAGACGCCCCGACACACTAAACGGGAGACCTTCTCTGTGCTTTGGCACGCTGCGTAGCCCTGCTGCGTCTGATAGTGATCTCGGACCCGTTCCCCCCGACACGCCATCTCTGCAGAGAGGGAAAAATGATTGCATAGCACTACAGTATATCACATATATATAGTATATTACATATTGCATATCAATCATGATCGGTTTCATTATATTTGCACTGTGAAATTGAAAGGTGACCCCTATGAAAATACAGTGAGTGAAAGCGGAAAAGGAAGGAGAGAAGAGGGCTGTGGGGGGGCTGCAGGAATATAGGTTCAACTTAAAGCTTGAGGTTTATTAGTTATTAAAGGAGGGAAGAAATTTAAAGGAGTAGTTCACCCAGAAAATGAAAATGTGCTCACGCTCCGGTCATCCAAGATTAGGATGAGTTTGTTTCTTCAACAGATTTGTAGAAATGTAGCATTGCATCAGTGTCTCAGCAATGTATGCTCTGCAGTGAATGGGTGCCGTCAGAATGAGAGTCCAAACAGCTGATAAAAACATCACAATAATCCACAGTCCATCAGTTAACGACTTGTGAGAAAAGTTGCATGTTTCTAAGAAACAAATCCATCATTAAAGCATTTTAAATTTAAACGGTTGCTTCTGGCCAAGTCCATAATGAATAATAACGCTTCCTCCAGTGAAACTGTCCATCTCCTGTTGTCTCTCACATCAAAATCCAGCCACATATTTGTTTAGAGCTGTTTTGGTCTGGTTTCACTTGTAAACTCTGTGCAGAGTTCTCTCCTGATTCAGATTAAATTACTTTTTCACTGAAGAAAGCAATATTATGGATCAACGGTTTTGTATTTTAAAACGTCTTGATGGATTTGTTTCTTACAAACACACAGCTTTTGTGTTCTCCAGATGTTAACTGATGGACTGGAGTGGTGTGGATTATTGTGATGTTTTTATCAGCTGTTTGGACTCTCATTCTGACGGCACCCATTCACTGCAGAGCATCCATTGCTGAGACACTGATGCAATGCTACATTTCTCTAAATCTTCAGCAAATTTTCATTTTTGGGTGAACTATTCCTTTAAGATGAACACACACACACACAGGACTCTCATTCTGACGGCACCCATTCACTGTAGAGGATCCATTGGTGAGCAATAACGCTAAATTTCTACAAATCTGTTCCGATGACAAAACAAATTCATCTACATCTTGGATGGCCTGAGGATGAGTACATTTTCAGCAATTTTTCATTATTGGGTGAACTATTCCTTAAAAATAAACACAGACACACAACATGCATCCCTCACCTGGCGGACCTGAGTGGGGTCCATACCGCTTTCAGTAGCAGCTTGAAGGTTACAGGAAGGTTAAAAACGTATGTTAGTTAAATAACAACAATAATAGCACGAGGTTAGCTTCTCACAGGGTTAGCATCTCAACAGCAAGCTACACAGACGTTTAGAATGAAAACACCACTTTAGCAACATATAAGCATTAAAGACATTTTGACACATGCAAGCACAAGTTACAGTACAGTAAAGGAGTATTGACCTTGCATACACTTTTATATAAAACAGAAATACATCACCACAAAATAAAGATATGAGGAGAAGGTTATCAGTTAAAGGCTTAAATTTTTGGTCTGTTCCTTAAAAGAAATTGTGAGAGAATGTAGCTTAAAAGTATCATACATTATTCAGAAAATGCTATGTTCTCTTCTGATGTTGTTTTCGAAGAGAATACATTTTAATTCCAGGTAGGGGTGGATTTAGGGTTTGAGCTACAGACATTACAGTTTTGGCCAAGAACAATAAATCTAAAATTATATATTATTATTAGCCTATAATAATGCTATGGCTGATAACCGTTAAGTGGCCAATATTTAAATTCTACACAATTGTCTATATAAATTAAAAATAAAACAGTAAAAACTAAAATCAATAATTTGAAATATAGAATTTAGACAAAATGTACAGCATGGAAACTGTACAATCATTCGAGATTTGGCTAAAGATTACATTTAACAATGTTATTAACCCTCTGCTGTTGTTTGGTCATTTTTGACCAAAAAATGTTAACGTTTTATTATTTAATTGGAAATAAATGGGAAGCGAAATTCATCTTGTGGAAATGTTTGGTACCGTGCTCAAACAAAACCCTACTGAAAGCTCATTTTTTGAGATATCAACCTCAAATTTGGAACACATCTTTGATTTTCTTGCAGTTTTAGAGTAAAACATGTCTTTTTATTAAGTCTGTGCTCCAAAGTATTCAAGATTTACGACAGTTTAAGTTGGAAATGTCCTTTTCAGGTCTATGCTCAAAAAGTGGTTAACAGGTCATCAATGGTTCATAACCATTCCATAAATATAATTTAGTACCATAAATCCCCTAGCAATAAAAAATATTAAATAGAAAACATTAATAAACTAAAATATAGTACAAAATAATAATTAAAAAAAGTGACGAAAGACACCAGAGGTTTGAATGATGGTAAAGGTAATCTAAAAATAAAAATGGAGAAAATGAGCAGAACCACAGCTAAATATCCAATATTGGCCAATATTTACTAAAAAAACAAAACAATAATAATAATAATGGCTGATAACTGATGTGGTACTGATATATTGTGCAACCCGAGAGCTTATGGAAAAAAACACTTTCAGTATTACTTAGTGTATATATCATTTGGAAACCGCAAAATTGTGTGTGTAGTCACATTTTTCTCATGAGATCAGGTTTATATAAAGATTGAAAGCATGCCGCCGTACCTCTATCACAGCTTTGCCCCGTGTAGCCGCTGTCGCACTCACAGTAGGCTTTCCCCAGCCCAGACACGCGACAGCGGCCGTGTTTACACGCTATGTACTGACAGGGACTCAACTGCTCCTCTTCATCACATAATACACCTGCAAAGCCTGGATGACAGCGACAGCTGTACGAGTATGAGTTTATGGGCTGACAGGAGCCGTGGATACACCTGAGACAGACACACACACAAATGCTTTTATATAATGAAACCAACGTGTGTGTGAGTGTGTGTGAGTGTGAGTGTGTGTGTGTG